TAGAATCTAAATTAATATATTAGATTTAACAGAGTTATGACTACCAGTAGTTCTGGTGACTATGCTTGTAATAAATACCATTTATTAAACTTTTGAAAATTGTTTTATATCAGATTCTTGTGCCAGTAATGGAATCCTTTCAGATGATGGAATAAAGCTTCTTCTTTCTATTATCCGTAAAGAATGTTTGTTTCTACATGTTTGTTCAGACAATGCCACTGGTGTGGGAGGGGGTGGGAAAGAGACAGGGACACCCATGTAAAATAGAGAGGAATATCACTGCAGTTTAAGAGGATCTTCTAGAAGGCATCAGAGGCTTGGATTCATTTTTGCCCCATGGATAAGTCATAGTATTGGCAGCAATTTGGTTTGTGATGCAGCACATACTGTCATGTGTTAGCTATAGCTTGTCCAAGGTTTTTTGTCAGATGGGGAGCATTGCAATGACGGTTCTCCTGAAGAACTGAACACCTGCAACGGGCTGTGTCAGAGAAGGTTTTAAGAAATCCTCCTTATCACTGTTAAAATGTTTTGTGCTCCTTCTGGTGTCAGTTCTAACGAATTAATCCTATCACAAAGCAGTATCTGATATTTAATCGTAATTCTTCTTTAACATTGATCAGACTCTGTCCCAAGCATAAATGTCAAATTCAGCAGCAAATACTGATATCTGGGAGGACTGGGAGTGACCTGAAGGGTCAAGAGTGACATCAAGTAAAAGAGGGGTTCCTTACATTGGAAGGAAATAGGGCCACTTGGCTTCTTACTCACTTGGCTGAGAGAAGCACTTTTGAAGATATCGAATAGTGAAAATTCTTGTGTTGGGAAGTGATGGAGTTGACCATCATAACTTTTAGAGAGTGATACATAGGGCGAATGTGTGTTTAAGTTGTGTAGTATTTGCACTTGGTCAAAATATGATAGTAACCATGGTTTTTCCTTGCCACTTAATGTTGCTACTGACAAGGGAGATTTGGTGCTCATGGTTAGTGTTGGACTCTCCTGAAGAAGTGCTGTGGGTTTGACGTGTGAGGTGGACGCCTGGGACTAGTCAGGCAATGACCTCAAAACAAGAATGTTAGTGAACATATTTTTCAAATGAAACAAATAGACACAAAAAACATTTAGTGAAATATACCATGAATTAGACTCTTGTGTAGTTCCAATTTTTGATTCAAAATTGTAAAAAAATACATATTAGTTACAGAGACCTTACATTCTTGTTTTGACAGCCGATTTGACATCATAGTTTGACTAGTCCCAGGTCCCAACCTCCCGTAGATTCTGACCCAATGAAATTTGAAATTTCATGTTTCCAAATGGCTAAAGAATGTGAAGAAAAACAGCCATTTTTGGTTTCAATTTCCATACCATGATCTCAAGTAGATTCCATCAAGTAAATAACAAAATATCTGTCATGTACCTTTAAGGTACTGCAACATGATAACCCTTTTATTACACAACATTGAAAGTTTCTATGCGTTGGACAAACCTTTATATAGCTATAAAATAACTGTACTTGATTCTTACAAAAGTAATTACACTGTCTTTGCAGTTGGTTCATTTCATTTCAGAAGAAGCAACATGCATCAGAGATTTGATTCAGTCTCCTCGTCCTGGTTTTCAATTTCTTCTTGCAACTGTATTTCACCCAATTCCTCATTACCTTCCTCCTTGGCTTTCCTCACTTCTTTTGCCTTTAACACTACTTTCTTAAACAAGTCACAGTAGAATTCAACAGCAGATGGTGAGTCATCATTTCCAGGGATTGGATACATAATTAGGTTAGGATTACAGTCACTATCCACTACACCAATAGTTGGAATATTTGCCATTGCCGCTTCTGTCACTGGCTGTGTTTTTGTTCCAAGTGATGGCAAATGCAAAAATACAATCAGATCAACGAGTTTGGTTGTTCCCAGTAACATGTAAGAATTAGTCAAAGTTCCTGCTCGCCATTTCCTAGTGATGAAGTACTCTCCACAGTCTCTTGCAGTTCGCTGTGTCAATTCCTCAAACTGTGGATGTGTTGAAACAAATAAGATTATTCCTCCTCTGTAAGCAATGTGTGCAAGGACGTTCAAAGCCAGCTGAAAATAAATGAGAAGATAATAGATAAATGACTGCCCAATCCAAATAAGTTACTTACTCATATTTCTGTTTTAAATTCCATGCCTTGAAGATTAAAGCTTATCAGAGTGTCAGGGTGTGTTCCTTTGGGATGATCTACATCAGGATCAGTGATCTAAGATCACTCAGATCATGGAGCATCAAAGGAACCAATGAATCCACTCTAAGTGCAAAATGTTTTAATAACAACAACCCCAAACCATACTGCCACCCTTTCCCCCTACCCCACACCACACATTCTCAAACAAAATATTAACCCACCAAAAAAGGTTGATTATTCCAGATGATAAACAACTCATCAATTCAATTGTTAACAATATACATACCCTCAAATGCACTGCCGTCTGGTTGAGATCAATGATATGATGATGTTCTCTTATGCCATAGAGGTAAGGCTTCATTAGTGGATCCCAACAGCCTTCAAAATGGCCAAGATGTACATTGGCATTGAATAGATCTCTCAATGTGAAGAGTTTGTGTACTTCAAAGAAATCTGGATGCTCCAGAATTTTCTCCACTCTAGGAATGTCAAAAGCATCTGCATGAAAAGGAAGATGTGTTAGGTTCAACCTGCCTACTGTATATACGTACGACTACAAAAAATTACATTTTATTTTTCAAGTAGAAATTGACTACAAAGATGCAAAATTAAATGCTTGAATTGAGCCATCAATCAAACAATTAGTCATTTAGTCGGTCACTCAGTCAGTAAAATAATCAGTCTGTCGATCAGTCAATCAATCAATCAATCAATCGATCGATCAGCCAGGCAGGCAGTCACCTTAATTAGTTTACAATATTAATGCTTCTTAAAATGAATATTTTACCAAATAATATATCCTTTCGGCATGTAGAAACTATCTTACCACCATCACTTGGTTTAACTACATCACTTTCTTCAACAGGAGGACGGTTTTCTGACGGAAACTGATTATTATCCGACAACTGACTGCAAAGGGCAGAACTATGAATAGAACAAGCCTGTCTCAATCTTGTCACTGGCGCCAAAAGAGTTGAGATGATTGGGTTTACTGGAGGGAAAATAGAAGAACGTTTTTTAAGCACTTTAGGAACTCCATCTGTTTGGAAAACGAATGCGCCATACCTCTAACCGATGAGAAATTCCAAACTGCTCTCATCCCGTGTGGCGCCGCCATATTGAAACCCAGAAACCTACTTCATGTAACGAAATTGAAGTATGCCAAGAAATCCCAGCGAGCTGTGCGGGTGGCGAGAGGAAACTTGGCTTATTTTGATCGATATCGTCAAAATTCACATTATATTTGTTGTGCATGTGAGCTGAAGGAAGTGATTTTGTCCATTTGAAGATAGCGTTGTGGCATGCAAATGTAGTAATGTAAAAGGCGCACCCAATAAGCCATTATTGAAAGGTAAATAAGTTGGTATCCTCCCTTGTTTGACGTCACGTTTGATCAGGCTCCTCGCATTGAAGAAGAGAAGCTTTTAGTTTATAAAGCTCATGTGTGGACGACCAAAGGTGTTCTTTTTGTCCGTCGCCAACTTCAGAAAGGACGAAGGTGAGAACTTATGGTTTGTATTTGTTATGGGTATCTGTGTTTCCCTTTCCCTTTCTGATACGATCGTTTTACATTTCAGAAGAACATTTCCAAGCAAGGAAGGACAAAGAGGATTTCTGGTTGTCAGACCGGCGAGAACGGCTACCATCATTTGACAGTTTTCACTGTAAACGCCGTCTGTGATGGTCGCAGACTCGTCCTTGAATAATCTTCGCTAGTGAACTTGCGGCATCTCGAATTCTGTTGATAATTTTATCGTCAACTTTGGAGGCATTTGACGAGTTCGACTTCGAAGGTGACCTTCTTTTGAAAGCGGTTTCGTTTGAGGTGTATAAAATATTAACTACTATTGGTGCCAGAGTGCAGATCAACCTAACCTTGTAGCGAGAGAAGATCATTATTTTGCTCAGAGAAATAAGCACTTTTTCCGAGACATTGCTTTATCTGAAAAATACTAACCCAGCTGAAGTCAAACATCTTTGCCCAAACAGTCAGAGTCATTTATGGCAGATCAGAAAGCAGGGACAAGTGGACAAGATGTAAAAGAAGAAAGCAATTCCAGCAGCCCTGAACAACCTCGGAGTCCAGGCGCAAAGTCAACAAACAGTGATCATGAGTACATCATGCTGGCTGTGCCTGATATCGAATCTGATTCTGGGTCAGCTCTGTCAGGCTCTTCTGTGGATAAGAGCAAATCTCAGGGGAGTAGTGTGAGTAGTTTTGCTGATGTCATAACTCCTGACATGGAGGCTACCTTGGAGAAGGGTCCAACAGAGGAAGAGGTACAACACTTGGTGGAAGATGCAAAAAGAGATATTTCACACTTCTCTGCTTCACAAGAAGAGGTGTTTCCCAGTCAGGATAAAGGAAAGGATCTTCAGGAAGGTAGTCAAATACCAAGTGAAAACCATGATCATGTTGTAAATGCACTTGCTGTGGATGGTGATTCACAAACAGAAGATGACAATTCCAGGGGGGAACTGGTAAGACAGCGATCTGCATCAGATGGTGAGGCCAACACAGGTCAGACTGAAAATGTTGCTGATTTCACTAGTGAAGAAGCAGTGCAAGCTAGATCAAGCACTCATCCAGGACACTCCGATGATGAAAGTGATGATAATGCCATTTTATTTGATGGGATCACTTATTTAGGATCCTCGACTGTGAATGCACCTGTCAGTGAAATTGAATTGAAAAGAACAATGTCTATCCTGCGAGAACAGACGGAGGTCACTATTGATGTTTTGCTATATGTTGGTTCAACGTCAGAGAGCATGATCAGACTTAAGGAACCTGGAACGCAGGCTGACATTGCAACTTATCGCATACAGAGGATTTTGTTTTGTGGTCGTGGTGATGCTGAAGGGAAAGAAAGGGACTGTTTTGCCTTCAATACTGTCCATGGAGACTCAGATATCTTCCACTGCCATGTATTCAAGTGTGAAGATCCTGAAAAGGTAAAGGGTCTCTACATTGTAAGCTCTAAAGAGGTGTCTGTAATAATACAAATTCAGTTAAAACAGATCTTTAAACTCCTTCATATGGTTTCAATTTTTATTTAGGTACAGTATATATATGTTTGTTTCTTGGGTATGCCATTGTGAAGTGGCAAAGCAAGATTCAAAAATGGTGGATGATTTCACTCTGCTCACTCTACAAAACTTGAGATCTGGGCAGAAAAAGCTGTACCGATCTGAGATCGTAGTAAGAAGATTCCATTTAAGGCTACTCCTACCCATAAAAGAAGCAAGCTTTGGCTTGGTTGCTTCAGTGTCATAAAATATTACCATTCGCTGTTCTCAATAACATTGTTTCATTATTGTGATAACTTCAGGAACTCACTGAAAAATGTTTTTTTCTGCAGATCTTTAATGAACTGTTTTTAGTAACTGTGTTTCAGTGGTGTTTCTTCTTTTGAAGAAATCCTTGGTGTTTGTGTTACTTTGTAAAATGAATTCAAGGCAAGTGACTGTACATGTAGATATGTGAATAAGCGATTTCAGTGGTTGGAATTGCATGATAAATTCACATATCTACAGTCACTTATCTTGAGCCAAAACATGTCANTAGAATCTAAATTAATATATTAGATTTAACAGAGTTATGACTACCAGTAGTTCTGGTGACTATGCTTGTAATAAATACCATTTATTAAACTTTTGAAAATTGTTTTATATCAGATTCTTGTGCCAGTAATGGAATCCTTTCAGATGATGGAATAAAGCTTCTTCTTTCTATTATCCGTAAAGAATGTTTGTTTCTACATGTTTGTTCAGACAATGCCACTGGTGTGGGAGGGGGTGGGAAAGAGACAGGGACACCCATGTAAAATAGAGAGGAATATCACTGCAGTTTAAGAGGATCTTCTAGAAGGCATCAGAGGCTTGGATTCATTTTTGCCCCATGGATAAGTCATAGTATTGGCAGCAATTTGGTTTGTGATGCAGCACATACTGTCATGTGTTAGCTATAGCTTGTCCAAGGTTTTTTGTCAGATGGGGAGCATTGCAATGACGGTTCTCCTGAAGAACTGAACACCTGCAACGGGCTGTGTCAGAGAAGGTTTTAAGAAATCCTCCTTATCACTGTTAAAATGTTTTGTGCTCCTTCTGGTGTCAGTTCTAACGAATTAATCCTATCACAAAGCAGTATCTGATATTTAATCGTAATTCTTCTTTAACATTGATCAGACTCTGTCCCAAGCATAAATGTCAAATTCAGCAGCAAATACTGATATCTGGGAGGACTGGGAGTGACCTGAAGGGTCAAGAGTGACATCAAGTAAAAGAGGGGTTCCTTACATTGGAAGGAAATAGGGCCACTTGGCTTCTTACTCACTTGGCTGAGAGAAGCACTTTTGAAGATATCGAATAGTGAAAATTCTTGTGTTGGGAAGTGATGGAGTTGACCATCATAACTTTTAGAGAGTGATACATAGGGCGAATGTGTGTTTAAGTTGTGTAGTATTTGCACTTGGTCAAAATATGATAGTAACCATGGTTTTTCCTTGCCACTTAATGTTGCTACTGACAAGGGAGATTTGGTGCTCATGGTTAGTGTTGGACTCTCCTGAAGAAGTGCTGTGGGTTTGACGTGTGAGGTGGACGCCTGGGACTAGTCAGGCAATGACCTCAAAACAAGAATGTTAGTGAACATATTTTTCAAATGAAACAAATAGACACAAAAAACATTTAGTGAAATATACCATGAATTAGACTCTTGTGTAGTTCCAATTTTTGATTCAAAATTGTAAAAAAATACATATTAGTTACAGAGACCTTACATTCTTGTTTTGACAGCCGATTTGACATCATAGTTTGACTAGTCCCAGGTCCCAACCTCCCGTAGATTCTGACCCAATGAAATTTGAAATTTCATGTTTCCAAATGGCTAAAGAATGTGAAGAAAAACAGCCATTTTTGGTTTCAATTTCCATACCATGATCTCAAGTAGATTCCATCAAGTAAATAACAAAATATCTGTCATGTACCTTTAAGGTACTGCAACATGATAACCCTTTTATTACACAACATTGAAAGTTTCTATGCGTTGGACAAACCTTTATATAGCGATAAAATAACTGTACTTGATTCTTACAAAAGTAACTACACTGTCTTTGCAGTTGGTTCATTTCATTTCAGAAGAAGCAACATGCATCAGAGATTTGATTCAGTCTCCTCGTCCTGGTTTTCAATTTCTTCTTGCAACTGTATTTCACCCAATTCCTCATTACCTTCCTCCTTGGCTTTCCTCACTTCTTTTGCCTTTAACACTACTTTCTTAAACAAGTCACAGTAGAATTCAACAGCAGATGGTGAGTCATCATTTCCAGGGATTGGATACATAATTAGGTTAGGATTACAGTCACTATCCACTACACCAATAGTTGGAATATTTGCCATTGCCGCTTCTGTCACTGGCTGTGTTTTTGTTCCAAGTGATGGCAAATGCAAAAATACAATCAGATCAACGAGTTTGGTTGTTCCCAGTAACATGTAAGAATTAGTCAAAGTTCCTGCTCGCCATTTCCTAGTGATGAAGTACTCTCCACAGTCTCTTGCAGTTCGCTGTGTCAATTCCTCAAACTGTGGATGTGTTGAAACAAATAAGATTATTCCTCCTCTGTAAGCAATGTGTGCAAGGACGTTCAAAGCCAGCTGAAAATAAATGAGAAGATAATAGATAAATGACTGCCCAATCCAAATAAGTTACTTACTCATATTTCTGTTTTAAATTCCATGCCTTGAAGATTAAAGCTTATCAGAGTGTCAGGGTGTGTTCCTTTGGGATGATCTACATCAGGATCAGTGATCTAAGATCACTCAGATCATGGAGCATCAAAGGAACCAATGAATCCACTCTAAGTGCAAAATGTTTTAATAACAACAACCCCAAACCATACTGCCACCCTTTCCCCCTACCCCACACCACACATTCTCAAACAAAATATTAACCCACCAAAAAAGGTTGATTATTCCAGATGATAAACAACTCATCAATTCAATTGTTAACAATATACATACCCTCAAATGCACTGCCGTCTGGTTGAGATCAATGATATGATGATGTTCTCTTATGCCATAGAGGTAAGGCTTCATTAGTGGATCCCAACAGCCTTCAAAATGGCCAAGATGTACATTGGCATTGAATAGATCTCTCAATGTGAAGAGTTTGTGTACTTCAAAGAAATCTGGATGCTCCAGAATTTTCTCCACTCTAGGAATGTCAAAAGCATCTGCATGAAAAGGAAGATGTGTTAGGTTCAACCTGCCTACTGTATATACGTACGACTACAAAAAATTACATTTTATTTTTCAAGTAGAAATTGACTACAAAGATGCAAAATTAAATGCTTGAATTGAGCCATCAATCAAACAATTAGTCATTTAGTCGGTCACTCAGTCAGTAAAATAATCAGTCTGTCAATCAGTCAATCAATCAATCAATCAATCGATCGATCGATCAATCAATCAATCAATCGATCGATCGATCAGCCAGGCAGGCAGTCACCTTAATTAGTTTACAATATTAATGCTTCTTAAAATGAATATTTTACCAAATAATATATCCTTTCGGCATGTAGAAACTATCTTACCACCATCACTTGGTTTAACTACATCACTTTCTTCAACAGGAGGACGGTTTTCTGACGGAAACTGATTATTATCCGACAACTGACTGCAAAGGGCAGAACTATGAATAGAACAAGCCTGTCTCAATCTTGTCACTGGCGCCAAAAGAGTTGAGATGATTGGGTTTACTGGAGGGAAAATAGAAGAACGTTTTTTAAGCACTTTAGGAACTCCATCTGTTTGGAAAACGAATGCGCCATACCTCTAACCGATGAGAAATTCCAAACTGCTCTCATCCCGTGTGGCGCCGCCATATTGAAACCCAGAAACCTACTTCATGTAACGAAATTGAAGTATGCCAAGAAATCCCAGCGAGCTGTGCGGGTGGCGAGAGGAAACTTGGCTTATTTTGATCGATATCGTCAAAATTCACATTATATTTGTTGTGCATGTGAGCTGAAGGAAGTGATTTTGTCCATTTGAAGATAGCGTTGTGGCATGCAAATGTAGTAATGTAAAAGGCGCACCCAATAAGCCATTATTGAAAGGTAAATAAGTTGGTATCCTCCCTTGTTTGACGTCACGTTTGATCAGGCTCCTCGCATTGAAGAAGAGAAGCTTTTAGTTTATAAAGCTCATGTGTGGACGACCAAAGGTGTTCTTTTTGTCCGTCGCCAACTTCAGAAAGGACGAAGGTGAGAACTTATGGTTTGTATTTGTTATGGGTATCTGTGTTTCCCTTTCCCTTTCTGATACGATCGTTTTACATTTCAGAAGAACATTTCCAAGCAAGGAAGGACAAAGAGGATTTCTGGTTGTCAGACCGGCGAGAACGGCTACCATCATTTGACAGTTTTCACTGTAAACGCCGTCTGTGATGGTCGCAGACTCGTCCTTGAATAATCTTCGCTAGTGAACTTGCGGCATCTCGAATTCTGTTGATAATTTTATCGTCAACTTTGGAGGCATTTGACGAGTTCGACTTCGAAGGTGACCTTCTTTTGAAAGCGGTTTCGTTTGAGGTGTATAAAATATTAACTACTATTGGTGCCAGAGTGCAGATCAACCTAACCTTGTAGCGAGAGAAGATCATTATTTTGCTCAGAGAAATAAGCACTTTTTCCGAGACATTGCTTTATCTGAAAAATACTAACCCAGCTGAAGTCAAACATCTTTGCCCAAACAGTCAGAGTCATTTATGGCAGATCAGAAAGCAGGGACAAGTGGACAAGATGTAAAAGAAGAAAGCAATTCCAGCAGCCCTGAACAACCTCGGAGTCCAGGCGCAAAGTCAACAAACAGTGATCATGAGTACATCATGCTGGCTGTGCCTGATATCGAATCTGATTCTGGGTCAGCTCTGTCAGGCTCTTCTGTGGATAAGAGCAAATCTCAGGGGAGTAGTGTGAGTAGTTTTGCTGATGTCATAACTCCTGACATGGAGGCTACCTTGGAGAAGGGTCCAACAGAGGAAGAGGTACAACACTTGGTGGAAGATGCAAAAAGAGATATTTCACACTTCTCTGCTTCACAAGAAGAGGTGTTTCCCAGTCAGGATAAAGGAAAGGATCTTCAGGAAGGTAGTCAAATACCAAGTGAAAACCATGATCATGTTGTAAATGCACTTGCTGTGGATGGTGATTCACAAACAGAAGATGACAATTCCAGGGGGGAACTGGTAAGACAGCGATCTGCATCAGATGGTGAGGCCAACACAGGTCAGACTGAAAATGTTGCTGATTTCACTAGTGAAGAAGCAGTGCAAGCTAGATCAAGCACTCATCCAGGACACTCCGATGATGAAAGTGATGATAATGCCATTTTATTTGATGGGATCACTTATTTAGGATCCTCGACTGTGAATGCACCTGTCAGTGAAATTGAATTGAAAAGAACAATGTCTATCCTGCGAGAACAGACGGAGGTCACTATTGATGTTTTGCTATATGTTGGTTCAACGTCAGAGAGCATGATCAGACTTAAGGAACCTGGAACGCAGGCTGACATTGCAACTTATCGCATACAGAGGATTTTGTTTTGTGGTCGTGGTGATGCTGAAGGGAAAGAAAGGGACTGTTTTGCCTTCAATACTGTCCATGGAGACTCAGATATCTTCCACTGCCATGTATTCAAGTGTGAAGATCCTGAAAAGGTAAAGGGTCTCTACATTGTAAGCTCTAAAGAGGTGTCTGTAATAATACAAATTCAGTTAAAACAGATCTTTAAACTCCTTCATATGGTTTCAATTTTTATTTAGGTACAGTATATATATGTTTGTTTCTTGGGTATGCCATTGTGAAGTGGCAAAGCAAGATTCAAAAATGGTGGATGATTTCACTCTGCTCACTCTACAAAACTTGAGATCTGGGTAGAAAAAGCTGTACCGATCTGAGATCGTAGTAAGAAGATTCCATTTAAGGCTACTCCTACCCATAAAAGAAGCAAGCTTTGGCTTGGTTGCTTCAGTGTCATAAAATATTACCATTCGCTGTTCTCAATAACATTGTTTCATTATTGTGATAACTTCAGGAACTCACTGAAAAATGTTTTTTTCTGCAGATCTTTAATGAACTGTTTTTAGTAACTGTGTTTCAGTGGTGTTTCTTCTTTTGAAGAAATCCTTGGTGTTTGTGTTACTTTGTAAAATGAATTCAAGGCAAGTGACTGTACATGTAGATATGTGAATAAGCGATTTCAGTGGTTGGAATTGCATGATAAATTCACATATCTACAGTCACTTATCTTGAGCCAAAACATGTCATTAAGTATGGTCTGTGAGTTACTTGTTAAGTTTTAAAGCACTGTAGTTTTTATGCCCACAAATTTATTGGTTTTTACTGTCAACTAATAATGTCATATACTTTATTTACCCTTGGATTGTAGAGTAGCTTTAACAGCTAATGTCTCAACTGTTACCCTAGAATGTAAAAATTTAATTTGCTTAGTTATTTACTTTTAATTGTTTAGGCTGGAAAGATCTTGAAGACATTTGCTTTATCCTTTAGAAGACACAGGAAGGTAAGTTTAGTTTTATGCTTTCAAAATGAATTACATACTTCATTGTTAGACAATAATGTACAATGTAGAAGTGATAAATAGTAGTTCCAAATGTCCAGTGTTACAGAATGCAGAGTGTGTTGTCAAAATTTGATGTAAGGTACAAAGAGTAGAGATTAGTTTCAAATTGAACTGTCGGTAAGGGAAAACGTTGTGGTTTAAATTGATCTTGGTGTGACACATTTGATATGAGTATGTATACATGAAGCATTACCCTTCTCTTCCATGGGTCACATCAGGCCATTAATCAGCCCATTAGTCAGCCTGGTGATGCTATAGAAATACTCAATCTCATAATCTGATCACATGGAGTTTTTTTTATAAATTATACTGTCTGCTTATACATGTATGTCTCGTTTTATTCTTACATGTATAATAATTATAAGATGCAAAAATGGATCCATAATTTCAAACTTAAGGCAAGTTTAAACCCCTGCATACATGTATACATGTATGTACATACATACTTGAACTTAGTGATTTGTGCGGGTAACCTGTTGGTATGCTGGAGGTTCGACTACCATCCCAGTCAGATTGAGCAACACCACATAGAATCACCGGACCTTAACACATCAATATTAAATCAATATTAACTGTTTTGAAAAGTATCCCTGATTAATGCATTTAAGTACCTCTTCGTAATTTCTAGTCATTTTCTTTTCTTGTCTTCTCTTTTAAATTGCATTCGGTATTAAAATTATCAAACTAAACAAGGAAAGAAACAAAGTGAGAAAAAAAGGAATAGGGAAATGTTTATTAGAATATTATGTAATAATATTGATCAATGTATTTAAAAGTTCCTGTTAATAAATAGCTATCTTGACAGGAACTTCTATTTGCATTAAAATGTTGATTCTTTAGAATTGATAAGAATATAAACCTATACCTAATTATTTTGAGTCTAAAAGCCTGTTTAAAACACAATAGAAAATTAATGTGCAATTAGGACACCTGGCAGAATAAAATCATGAAATTAAAGAAGTTTGCAATGATTTAAATAATGCTGAGCTTACATTCATGGAAACTGTCAACATTAGTTCCTATCCACAGCACTCTGTGCCTTTTTGGTAAATATTTTCTAGCGGAGCTAATTAGAAGAGAGGATAAATGAAATGTAATTTTACAATAAGTGGCTCAAATAAGTTACCGTTAACTGCTTTTTCTGCTGCTGTTCTTAGAAATTTTTTTTCTATTCTCTTTCCAACATGCTTTCTCTCTGGAGGACAAATATTCCCTAGTGAGTGTTTGCTTAATAAATGAAAAGTCAGCTAATTTTTTGCAGTTATTCTTTGTTGAATTAGCCTAGAACATTTGTTTCTTTTCTTGTTGACCTAATTAATTGAAACTGCGTACCTGACGGCTAAAACTTAATTAGGCTAGCAAGAACATGCAGCTTATGAAACAAATATAATAAGGGAAGGTTTTTGCTGCCACCTTAAAAACAGAGTGCCCCTGGAGACACCTTATTATAAACTGAAACATAAATTTCCATGTTCTCTTGTTGTAAAGTGTTAAAAGTGTAAAATGTACTTTTAATAATAATTATTAAGATGATGATGATAATAGTAAAAATAATAATAAAAATAAAAATAATAATGATAATAATAATATAATAATAATAATAATAATAATTACATTTGTTGCGTTAAAATTACATGGTTTTGTACCTGCCATATTCCTTCACTAATGAAATCTTTTGTTTTGTTTTTTTCTACTGAAGAGGAAACAGCAGTTACAGCAGGTGTCTGTTGACAATCCTACAATGGTCACTGGTATCAGCAACCTTGTCTTCAAATTTGATGTGACTCTGGACATTCTTGAGGAAGACCACAAAGGATTTTCCTCTGCTGCTAGGGACAAAAACTGTTTTAAACTTCGCCAAGACTTGAGAAAGAAAGTTTTAATAACGGTGCAACAGTTGACAAACAAGCATCTTATTGTGGAAAGGTTGGCAATTATTGTTTTCATCATAACAACAACAACAACAGTATTTCTAAGACTGTCACCTCTTGTATTTTTTTTAGTAGTTGTTTTCTTTTTTTGGGATTCTTTGAGGTTAAAGTTGATTATAAATTAATGTTTCGGCTAGTTTAACTGGCCTTCCTTAGGAAGTAAGAAAATGAAAGTCAATATAGCTGACTGAAAAGTGCACGCATATGGTCTGCAACACTGACTTTTATTTTGAATTATTATTTGCTCATTTTAATCTTGAAAGAATCTGTAAGTAGAGAGAGTGGAAAATAAGCTCTGAAAAACCCCTCTGTTCTATGAAATAGCAAATCGCAACAAGAAAAACAGACTTGATGTTAATTTCTGCACATGTTATGAAGTGTCTACTGGGAATTGTTATTCTCTTATTCTAGGACGAATTCCAGCTAACCAATTTTAAGTTGTTGCAAACTTTTATTATCTCATTATAATTTTCCTTTTTCAGGTGTTTTGGACTCTTGATCTGTCCTGGCAAGAATGTTCGGTATTCTGACATGCATCTATTGAGTGAGGCAAGCTAAAATTAATTGTTTTTACAATCAAAAATGAAAATGAAGCATCTTAGTGATGGTTAGCTTGCTTGTCCTTTGGGAAGATATTCTCTGGCCACGAACTTGAACAGAAGTAAGCTGAAGTTGCCTTTGTCAAGATATAATACTCTCACCTGGACAGTCATTCAAGATATACTGCACACATTTACAATTTAGTTATTCTAGCACTTGTTATCATACCATTTACCGAGATCATGGATTGCTTGATTACTGATTATTTGACCCCTGTCATGTTCTCATTGCAAGGTGTCAAAATTTGGGTTCAAAATGAGACCATCTGTGGGGCCATATGGTCTAAACAAACACAAACAAAATAAAAAAGATAAGCATTGCAAATTAGGAAAAAAGCAAATGAAACTTATGGTATAATTTCAAATATGAGAAGTAACAAACTTATCATTGCTAAGTAAAATATCATTTTGAATTTCCTTCAGGTGTCGATGGAAGTTGCAGATGGTGGCAAAACTTATTACATAAGTGGGTTATGGGATCCAGCTGTACGTGACTTGTTAGTTTTAAACACAGAAACTCCAAAAGGTAGATGTCAGTCAAACGTCTATTAATATATAAAAAAACCCTTTGACTCTCAGATGTGATCAACATCCCAGTTCCTGTAACATTAATGGTCATTAATACCATGATATTGTACATCAACAACAAGGCAGGTGAGGAAAATTAAGAAAATTTTCAATTTCACAGGAAACTCGTCTTCAGGCTGAAAACTTGTTTGATATGAATCCGGTGAAGGACAGGTTTCCCATTGCAAATTTATCTTTCTAATTTCCGTCCAAATGGATGGGAAAATAGTACAGAATGAAAACTCATCTTAGAGGGAAAACCATCTTAATTTCATATTGGATGTGAAAATGGCAACAAGCATTTTTTTGCTTGCCCTCAAGGAGAAGACTGAAACTAGAACGACTGCATGGCTGATNAGGAGGACGGTTTTCTGACGGAAACTGATTATTATCCGACAACTGACTGCAAAGGGCAGAACTATGAATAGAACAAGCCTGTCTCAATCTTGTCACTGGCGCCAAAAGAGTTGAGATGATTGGGTTTACTGGAGGGAAAATAGAAGAACGTTTTTTAAGCACTTTAGGAACTCCATCTGTTTGGAAAACGAATGCGCCATACCTCTAACCGATGAGAAATTCCAAACTGCTCTCATCCCGTGTGGCGCCGCCATATTGAAACCCAGAAACCTACTTCATGTAACGAAATTGAAGTATGCCAAGAAATCCCAGCGAGCTGTGCGGGTGGCGAGAGGAAACTTGGCTTATTTTGATCGATATCGTCAAAATTCACATTATATTTGTTGTGCATGTGAGCTGAAGGAAGTGATTTTGTCCATTTGAAGATAGCGTTGTGGCATGCAAATGTAGTAATGTAAAAGGCGCACCCAATAAGCCATTATTGAAAGGTAAATAAGTTGGTATCCTCCCTTGTTTGACGTCACGTTTGATCAGGCTCCTCGCATTGAAGAAGAGAAGCTTTTAGTTTATAAAGCTCATGTGTGGACGACCAAAGGTGTTCTTTTTGTCCGTCGCCAACTTCAGAAAGGACGAAGGTGAGAACTTATGGTTTGTATTTGTTATGGGTATCTGTGTTTCCCTTTCCCTTTCTGATACGATCGTTTTACATTTCAGAAGAACATTTCCAAGCAAGGAAGGACAAAGAGGATTTCTGGTTGTCAGACCGGCGAGAACGGCTACCATCATTTGACAGTTTTCACTGTAAACGCCGTCTGTGATGGTCGCAGACTCGTCCTTGAATAATCTTCGCTAGTGAACTTGCGGCATCTCGAATTCTGTTGATAATTTTATCGTCAACTTTGGAGGCATTTGACGAGTTCGACTTCGAAGGTGACCTTCTTTTGAAAGCGGTTTCGTTTGAGGTGTATAAAATATTAACTACTATTGGTGCCAGAGTGCAGATCAACCTAACCTTGTAGCGAGAGAAGATCATTATTTTGCTCAGAGAAATAAGCACTTTTTCCGAGACATTGCTTTATCTGAAAAATACTAACCCAGCTGAAGTCAAACATCTTTGCCCAAACAGTCAGAGTCATTTATGGCAGATCAGAAAGCAGGGACAAGTGGACAAGATGTAAAAGAAGAAAGCAATTCCAGCAGCCCTGAACAACCTCGGAGTCCAGGCGCAAAGTCAACAAACAGTGATCATGAGTACATCATGCTGGCTGTGCCTGATATCGAATCTGATTCTGGGTCAGCTCTGTCAGGCTCTTCTGTGGATAAGAGCAAATCTCAGGGGAGTAGTGTGAGTAGTTTTGCTGATGTCATAACTCCTGACATGGAGGCTACCTTGGAGAAGGGTCCAACAGAGGAAGAGGTACAACACTTGGTGGAAGATGCAAAAAGAGATATTTCACACTTCTCTGCTTCACAAGAAGAGGTGTTTCCCAGTCAGGATAAAGGAAAGGATCTTCAGGAAGGTAGTCAAATACCAAGTGAAAACCATGATCATGTTGTAAATGCACTTGCTGTGGATGGTGATTCACAAACAGAAGATGACAATTCCAGGGGGGAACTGGTAAGACAGCGATCTGCATCAGATGGTGAGGCCAACACAGGTCAGACTGAAAATGTTGCTGATTTCACTAGTGAAGAAGCAGTGCAAGCTAGATCAAGCACTCATCCAGGACACTCCGATGATGAAAGTGATGATAATGCCATTTTATTTGATGGGATCACTTATTTAGGATCCTCGACTGTGAATGCACCTGTCAGTGAAATTGAATTGAAAAGAACAATGTCTATCCTGCGAGAACAGACGGAGGTCACTATTGATGTTTTGCTATATGTTGGTTCAACGTCAGAGAGCATGATCAGACTTAAGGAACCTGGAACGCAGGCTGACATTGCAACTTATCGCATACAGAGGATTTTGTTTTGTGGTCGTGGTGATGCTGAAGGGAAAGAAAGGGACTGTTTTGCCTTCAATACTGTCCATGGAGACTCAGATATCTTCCACTGCCATGTATTCAAGTGTGAAGATCCTGAAAAGGTAAAGGGTCTCTACATTGTAAGCTCTAAAGAGGTGTCTGTAATAATACAAATTCAGTTAAAACAGATCTTTAAACTCCTTCATATGGTTTCAATTTTTATTTAGGTACAGTATATATATGTTTGTTTCTTGGGTATGCCATTGTGAAGTGGCAAAGCAAGATTCAAAAATGGTGGATGATTTCACTCTGCTCACTCTACAAAACTTGAGATCTGGGCAGAAAAAGCTGTACCGATCTGAGATCGTAGTAAGAAGATTCCATTTAAGGCTACTCCTACCCATAAAAGAAGCAAGCTTTGGCTTGGTTGCTTCAGTGTCATAAAATATTACCATTCGCTGTTCTCAATAACATTGTTTCATTATTGTGATAACTTCAGGAACTCACTGAAAAATGTTTTTTTCTGCAGATCTTTAATGAACTGTTTTTAGTAACTGTGTTTCAGTGGTGTTTCTTCTTTTGAAGAAATCCTTGGTGTTTGTGTTACTTTGTAAAATGAATTCAAGGCAAGTGACTGTACATGTAGATATGTGAATAAGCGATTTCAGTGGTTGGAATTGCATGATAAATTCACATATCTACAGTCACTTATCTTGAGCCAAAACATGTCATTAAGTATGGTCTGTGAGTTACTTGTTAAGTTTTAAAGCACTGTAGTTTTTATGCCCACAAATTTATTGGTTTTTACTGTCAACTAATAATGTCATATACTTTATTTACCCTTGGATTGTAGAGTAGCTTTAACAGCTAATGTCTCAACTGTTACCCTAGAATGTAAAAATTTAATTTGCTTAGTTATTTACTTTTAATTGTTTAGGCTGGAAAGATCTTGAAGACATTTGCTTTATCCTTTAGAAGACACAGGAAGGTAAGTTTAGTTTTATGCTTTCAAAATGAATTACATACTTCATTGTTAGACAATAATGTACAATGTAGAAGTGATAAATAGTAGTTCCAAATGTCCAGTGTTACAGAATGCAGAGTGTGTTGTCAAAATTTGATGTAAGGTACAAAGAGTAGAGATTAGTTTCAAATTGAACTGTCGGTAAGGGAAAACGTTGTGGTTTAAATTGATCTTGGTGTGACACATTTGATATGAGTATGCATACATGAAGCATTACCCTTCTCTTCCATGGGTCACATCAGGCCATTAATCAGCCCATTAGTCAGCCTGGTGATGCTATAGAAATACTCAATCTCATAATCTGATCACATGGAGTTTTTTTATAAATTATACTGTCTGCTTATACATGTATGTCTCGTTTTATTCTTACATGTATAATAATTATAAGATGCAAAAATGGATCCATAATTTCAAACTTAAGGCAAGTTTAAACCCCTGCATACATGTATACATGTATGTACATACATACTTGAACTTAGTGATTTGTGCGGGTAACCTGTTGGTATGCTGGAGGTTCGACTACCATCCCAGTCAGATTGAGCAACACCACATAGAATCACCGGACCTTAACACATCAATATTAAATCAATATTAACTGTTTTGAAAAGTATCCCTGATTAATGCATTTAAGTACCTCTTCGTAATTTCTAGTCATTTTCTTTTCTTGTCTTCTCTTTTAAATTGCATTCGGTATTAAAATTATCAAACTAAACAAGGAAAGAAACAAAGTGAGAAAAAAAGGAATAGGGAAATGTTTATTAGAATATTATGTAATAATATTGATCAATGTATTTAAAAGTTCCTGTTAATAAATAGCTATCTTGACAGGAACTTCTATTTGCATTAAAATGTTGATTCTTTAGAATTGATAAGAATATAAACCTATACCTAATTATTTTGAGTCTAAAAGCCTGTTTAAAACACAATAGAAAATTAATGTGCAATTAGGACACCTGGCAGAATAAAATCATGAAATTAAAGAAGTTTGCAATGATTTAAATAATGCTGAGCTTACATTCATGGAAACTGTCAACATTAGTTCCTATCCACAGCACTCTGTGCCTTTTTGGTAAATATTTTCTAGCGGAGCTAATTAGAAGAGAGGATAAATGAAATGTAATTTTACAATAAGTGGCTCAAATAAGTTACCGTTAACTGCTTTTTCTGCTGCTGTTCTTAGAAATTTTTTTTCTATTCTCTTTCCAACATGCTTTCTCTCTGGAGGACAAATATTCCCTAGTGAGTGTTTGCTTAATAAATGAAAAGTCAGCTAATTTTTTGCAGTTATTCTTTGTTGAATTAGCCTAGAACATTTGTTTCTTTTCTTGTTGACCTAATTAATTGAAACTGCGTACCTGACGGCTAAAACTTAATTAGGCTAGCAAGAACATGCAGCTTATGAAACAAATATAATAAGGGAAGGTTTTTGCTGCCACCTTAAAAACAGAGTGCCCCTGGAGACACCTTATTATAAACTGAAACATAAATTTCCATGTTCTCTTGTTGTAAAGTGTTAAAAGTGTAAAATGTACTTTTAATAATAATTATTAAGATGATGATGATAATAGTAAAAATAATAATAAAAATAAAAATAATAATGATAATAATAATATAATAATAATAATAATAATAATTACATTTGTTGCGTTAAAATTACATGGTTTTGTACCTGCCATATTCCTTCACTAATGAAATCTTTTGTTTTGTTTTTTTCTACTGAAGAGGAAACAGCAGTTACAGCAGGTGTCTGTTGACAATCCTACAATGGTCACTGGTATCAGCAACCTTGTCTTCAAATTTGATGTGACTCTGGACATTCTTGAGGAAGACCACAAAGGATTTTCCTCTGCTGCTAGGGACAAAAACTGTTTTAAACTTCGCCAAGACTTGAGAAAGAAAGTTTTAATAACGGTGCAACAGTTGACAAACAAGCATCTTATTGTGGAAAGGTTGGCAATTATTGTTTTCATCATAACAACAACAACAACAGTATTTCTAAGACTGTCACCTCTTGTATTTTTTTTAGTAGTTGTTTTCTTTTTTTGGGATTCTTTGAGGTTAAAGTTGATTATAAATTAATGTTTCGGCTAGTTTAACTGGCCTTCCTTAGGAAGTAAGAAAATGAAAGTCAATATAGCTGACTGAAAAGTGCACGCATATGGTCTGCAACACTGACTTTTATTTTGAATTATTATTTGCTCATTTTAATCTTGAAAGAATCTGTAAGTAGAGAGAGTGGAAAATAAGCTCTGAAAAACCCCTCTGTTCTATGAAATAGCAAATCGCAACAAGAAAAACAGACTTGATGTTAATTTCTGCACATGTTATGAAGTGTCTACTGGGAATTGTTATTCTCTTATTCTAGGACGAATTCCAGCTAACCAATTTTAAGTTGTTGCAAACTTTTATTATCTCATTATAATTTTCCTTTTTCAGGTGTTTTGGACTCTTGATCTGTCCTGGCAAGAATGTTCGGTATTCTGACATGCATCTATTGAGTGAGGCAAGCTAAAATTAATTGTTTTTACAATCAAAAATGAAAATGAAGCATCTTAGTGATGGTTAGCTTGCTTGTCCTTTGGGAAGATATTCTCTGGCCACGAACTTGAACAGAAGTAAGCTGAAGTTGCCTTTGTCAAGATATAATACTCTCACCTGGACAGTCATTCAAGATATACTGCACACATTTACAATTTAGTTATTCTAGCACTTGTTATCATACCATTTACCGAGATCATGGATTGCTTGATTACTGATTATTTGACCCCTGTCATGTTCTCATTGCAAGGTGTCAAAATTTGGGTTCAAAATGAGACCATCTGTGGGGCCATATGGTCTAAACAAACACAAACAAAATAAAAAAGATAAGCATTGCAAATTAGGAAAAAAGCAAATGAAACTTATGGTATAATTTCAAATATGAGAAGTAACAAACTTATCATTGCTAAGTAAAATATCATTTTGAATTTCCTTCAGGTGTCGATGGAAGTTGCAGATGGTGGCAAAACTTATTACATAAGTGGGTTATGGGATCCAGCTGTACGTGACTTGTTAGTTTTAAACACAGAAACTCCAAAAGGTAGATGTCAGTCAAACGTCTATTAATATATAAAAAAACCCTTTGACTCTCAGATGTGATCAACATCCCAGTTCCTGTAACATTAATGGTCATTAATACCATGATATTGTACATCAACAACAAGGCAGGTGAGGAAAATTAAGAAAATTTTCAATTTCACAGGAAACTCGTCTTCAGGCTGAAAACTTGTTTGATATGAATCCGGTGAAGGACAGGTTTCCCATTGCAAATTTATCTTTCTAATTTCCGTCCAAATGGATGGGAAAATAGTACAGAATGAAAACTCATCTTAGAGGGAAAACCATCTTAATTTCATATTGGATGTGAAAATGGCAACAAGCATTTTTTTGCTTGCCCTCAAGGAGAAGACTGAAACTAGAACGACTGCATGGCTGATGTAGCACTGCTGTATCTGCTAAGTTCCTCAAATAAAATTTTGGTGCTTTACCACAACTATTTCATCTTCTTAAATACTCCATGTTGTTTTGAGCCTCTTGCTTTCTTGCTGTTGCCAGGAATGTTAGAGAAAACATCATATAAGCCATACTTGTCGATCATTACCCAGTCTGATAATTGCCCCAGACTCCTCTGCCTGATTGCGGACTTTACCTTACATTATCCATCACAATCTCTACAAGCAATAAAAAAACAACTTTATTATGGTTATTGTGGTGTTTTTTTTTCTTTTTTTTTTTTTGCAGATTCAAGAATATTTGTGACAATAGCTGTGGACTTAGTCGTCACTGGAGTAACAGAGCCAGTTAGGTTCATTGTGGAGACAAAAGCTAAAATTTTCCCCAGTGGAGAAAAGTTTTTCTGGAGTCCCAGTAAACCAAAATTCCATGAAACATTTATCATGGAACTGAAAGAGGTTAGGACCGAATTTCCCTGGATAACCTAGAAGTGCTTCTTAGGGCTATAGATAGCTAGGTCTTTACTGAACTGCAAATCATAAAGGACAGATTGAAATAAATTAGTTAAAAGCAAATATCAATTTTTTAACGAAAAAAGGAAATGAGACAGGCTGTAATGAAATGAAAGTATTCCAAAGAAGGAAAATATTCTGGTGCCTTTCAAATATTTAAAATAAGAGGGTTATACTTATAGATTGGTAGATAGTGGACAAATTTTCAAGAACTCGTAATCTGTTCAAACCTGCCATTCTGTCACTTTTTAACGGTAGGCTCATACCTATTTGGCTTGCTCTCCGTATTGCATTTGTAAACTGTTGCACTGAATGGGTTTACTAGTAAGATATTATTTTTATCATTGTCTCTAAGTTAAGCATAAAGTGAAGCCTTGGAGCTGATGGCTCATAGCTGCCGGAGCTTATCCCGGTTTTTGTAGCATGAAGTGGCTAGGAGTATTTCTACTCCCCTTGGACGGGATGCTAGTCCATCGCAGGTCACTCCCCTGCAATTTGTTAGGTTTCCCCAACAATTCACCCTTACCCATTTATACTCCTGGGTGGAGAGAGGCACTGTGAGAGTTAAGTGTCTTGCCCAAGAACACAACACCGTGTTCCTGGCGAGGGCTCGAACCTGGACTGCTCGCTGCGGAGATGAGTGCACTAACCATGAGGCCACCGCACCTCCCACTAAGTTAAGCATACTTAGGTGTTCATGTTTGGTTTTGTTTTGTTTGATAGGACATTGTTTCATTGCAGGTTATTGACACTGAGACAGGACTGAAAAGCTGTGAAGTGAAGAGCATCAAAACTGAACTCAGTATAGAAGCTTCTAAGAATATGGCTAAGAGGCAACCCAACCTGACAAGACAGCTGTCTGGAGGGAACAAGACTTCTGATGGTGAGTTTACATGTATTAACACAGACTGATGTTGTCATAATGAAAGATATCTAACAGTTACCTTGTTTTGTTAAAGGAAAATTGATTTAGTATCATCTGAAAGCTTTACATTAACCTCTGGCAGGGGATGTCTCTCTTATATGCAAACTGCATAGTCTCTGACCTGTTGTTACTCAGTTACAGTGAATGTTTTTAATACACCTCACAGATCTTTCTTGTTCTAGATCACTAGTATGAAATTGTTGTTTCTGCTTCAAGTCGTAGATGCTGTGAAATTAACAAATAGATTCCATGTTGCTGACTTGCTGTACATCTAGTCAGTATTAGATCACACATGACTTCAAAACGTAGTAAGAACAAGAGAGTGGTCCATGAGCTGTTAGGCAAGCCTGTCACTTCCATGATCTATTACTCAACAGATGCACAGCAGCATGGAATCTATCTGTTTTATTTAATTAAGAACCAAAAAAAATGTTTATGATGTCATCTGTAGGTCTTCCCTCCAATAGATCATAAGTATGAACCAATCAAAATGCATGAATAAATTGGCTTATGATGTAATATAAGAATGGAAAAGAGTGCATGTCTGTTTTTTTCTTGCTCTGCAAAAAAAACTGGAGCCTGCTTTGTAGCTTCTGAGGCCAGTGTAGTATATAGGGCAAGGGCACATCTGAGTGATAGACTTTTTCAGACATAAGTTGCTGCTCCTGAGGGTGTCAACTTAACTAAGGCTCTGTTGTACTTCCATGTACAGATGATGATGAAGATGATGAACCACTGCTATCTGGATCAGGTGATGTGCAGAAAGAGTGCACAGAGGAGGAGCTAGGAAGCTGGGCAGAACTGTTAAATAAATGGAAGGATGTCACTCTTAGGCCAAGACAACTCCCTGGACTCGTAAGAAAGGTGGGGCTGTTTTTGAGAGTGAAATCAGTTAGAAAAACATGGGTGATATTACATTAGTCTAGTATCCTTTTCCAAGCCATTTTGGGTCATCAGGAAATGCTTTTTTCACTTATTACTATTAAAATCAGGTTAAAGTGTGTAACACTGCATGATAGTGTAAATAACAACACCTGCAAAGATGACTAGTAGATCTTTATCTTTAGTAGATCTTAGTAGATCTTTAGTAAAGATTTTTAGTAGATCTTTTATAAAAAATAACTGAGGAGGTCGTATCTGGTTTTGTGAATCACCTGTGTTCAAAGTCCTGTACACTTGATCCAATTCCATCTTCAGTGTTCAAAGGGTGCCATCATTATCTGCTTCCAATGATCACTCGTATAGTTAACTTGTCTCTTACAAGTGGCCAAGTACCTGATAGATTCAAGGTTGCCATGTTGAAGCCGTTGTT